GTTATATACTGGAGATATTTTAATGATTATATATTTATTTTTAACGAAGGAAGTGATTCAATTGATTCTGAGGGTCCGTTTACACAACACTGTTTTCAACTAAAAACTGAAAACTTTTCACGTGTTTTGGCCATTCATTTCCATCACAACAGTGTTTTGGGGGCCTGAAAACACAAACTTTTGAAAAGAGTACCGTTATTGTCTCTGTGTAAACTACAAAAATGTGAATTTGTGAAAACAGTGATGTCATGTGTATTATGTGTTCAGTCTACAGGAAAGTGACATCGCCACCTACTGGCCTGGCATGAATAATACAGCATTTTAAGTCATTTTTACGGATCCATGAGAATGTGAATTGTTTGTCAATGTTGTCATCTTGCATTACTAACTACCAATAAAATTAAGTATCTTTTACTATGCGTTTCACACTGAAATACGTCAGAATACATATCTGGGTTGTGAATGCTGTGTATGATTGTGGATATTAAAGTGCAACATGAGGCAAACTTCCGTTCAGACATGGTCAACCGTTTGCAGCTCATCAAATACAATCCGTGAGCATTTCTGCAGCCATACGTACATCGCAGCAGTTTTATTCCTAATTATTATTCCAGAAAAAGCCTGATAGGGTTCCAGCAGGGCGACTATCAGCTGAAATGATCCCGAACTCCAAACTGCCTCCGACTGTCACAGAAAATAAAAAGATCAGCACTTGACATCTTATTTGAATTAGAGGCTGATTCTCTCGCTGCAGGGAACAGCAGGAACTGTGGCGTTCCCACTCGATTTTCCACGCACTATCCTGGTGAAATGCACTTTTTTCATTACAGCAGGTTTATGACTGGAGTCCTCGATGGCGGTCGAGCGGCGTATCGCGGGTTCTCCAGCTAAACCGGCTCTGAACGCTGAGTTGCCACATCTGCTCCCGCTATAATGGATTTGCTTGCCGTTAAGAGGCCGCGGGTCTCGGGGGAAACAGCAAAGAGCTTAACGCCGCTCACTTTCTGCTGCTCTGGTGATTTATTTTGATTAGGCTGATGAAGTCTTCGCTGTTGCCAGCCTGGAATAATCGACACGGTGTGCCCGGAGGTCAAAGCGAACGGCGCAGGCTTTATGCAGGGCTGCAGCGCTCAGGTGGAAAGAGCTTCACGGGAATATTACCAAACACTGCACAATGTCACGTGACGCTTGAACCGATACGAACTGACTGCAGCTTCACGAGTGCGATGGAGCCCGTTCAACATCAGCACAAACCACAAGCGCCTATGGAAGCCACAATCAATCAATCAATCAATCAATCAATCAATCAACAGCATTGAACAATCAATCAATAGCATTGCAAAATGTAAACTTGCAGCTCTTAGGAAAAATGCAGAACTGTGAGATGTAAACTCAGAATTTTGAAAAATAAAAATAAAAAAAAAGAAAGAAAATTATGAAATGTAAACTCAGAGTTGAAGAAGGTAGGGGGGGGGCAGAATTGCAAGATGGTAAAATTGAAATTTTGAGTTTATAACTTGTGAGATGTAAACTTAAAATTCTGAGAAAAATATCAGAATCAGGTAAGTAAAATCACAGTTTATACCCTGCAATTTTGTGATATAAACTTTTAAGAAAAAAACAGAATTAAGAGAAAAAAGTCAGAATTGTGAGATAAGTAGCAGCTTCCTTTATTTTTTTTTATTCAATGGCAGAAATAATAATAATAATAATTCATTACATTTATATAGTGCTTTTCTAGGCATTGTCTCATCCAAAGGACGGTGCTTGTTGACAGTATAGTGTCCCCGTCACTACACTGGGGCGTTAGGACCCACACAGACCACAGAGTGAGCACCCCCTGCTGGCCTCACTAACACCTCTTCCAGCAGCAACCTAGTCTTCCCAGGAAGTCTTCCATCCAGGTACTGACCAGCTCAACCCTGCTTAGCTTCAGTGGGCGACCAGTCTTGGGCTGCAGGGTGATATGGCTGTCGGCAAACAGCATTGCAATGTGTAAACTCAGAATTCTGAGAGGAAAAAAAAAAAGTAAAAAGTGCTTTTATATATATATATAGTCAGCGATTCCCAGAAATTGTGGCATTTCTGAAATTCTGAAAAAGTTGCAATTATTTAAAAATCAAACCAAACATCAGACGTGCAGCAGACAAATGCTAAACGTTAGACTTCAACATTCACATCTTAACTTGCATTGCTTACCTTATCTGTCACTTTAGATCCAACTTTCAGCTTGTTGTCATGACAGCGCAACTCCAGAAAACATGGTAACCTTCAAAAGCTAAATATAAGGATTTGTGAAAAGATTACGTCTGTTTACATGCAGTGAACTCACTGCAGTCGCATCAGGAACACATTAGCAGACCTTCAGCCACCTCCTCACCCATTTAGACACTTTACAGTGCTGCAAATGATAAATGGCATTTTACTGAATAATTCATACAAAATACAAACTTCCCACATTATGCCCTCTGGAATGCATTAGATGTGACGTAACTGCAGATTTCTTTCTGCTAGACAACCTGAAGGAGAGCAGGAGAGTTTTGAACACAGAACAGAGGCATTGTGGGATCTGAGCACATGTGAATCATTAACCTTCATTCCAGTTACTGCTGCCCCGCTTTCTCTCTCAAATCTCCATTTGCTCTCATAATCGCCTGTCTTCCATCAGATCATTCTCACTGTGTTTTGTTTCTCTCTTGTGTGACATAAAACATCAGAAATCTCTGCAGGATTGGACGGGACGCTCACGGAGGGCATTTACACTCACTTCACGTGGCTTGATTCACTGGGTTTCTATTCGATTTACATTCGGCTTCACAAAACTAAATGTGCTCTACTATTGCCGTGCAACATCCTGAAGATGGTTAAAAATATGAAAATGAATGAAATATGAAAAAAAAATCATACAGCAGAATAGGAATGCAATCAACAAATAAACTAAAAAATAGACATTCTGAGATAGTTTCATCTTGACATGCTTAATACTTGAATAACCTGACAGAACGCTAATGTAGACATGGAGAGAAAAAAAATGTCAATAGAGTTTTGTGACCTTTCCTTTGTAAAAATAACATGGTGTGCTGTTTGCATGAACCCTGAACCCTAAATACAGCCGTGTAGAGCCCCTTTTTTTGGTTTACATTACTAATCCTAAAGCTGAAAAAAAAAAAAATCAATCAATAGATCAATCAATCCATGACTTGTCTCTTTTAAAATGTCAAACTTTTTAAATTTAAAATGTTATGGGGTTGAAGGTGAGTGCAAAAATATCACCCAACAGTCTTAACTAGCAAATATAACCACACCACACTAACGTACTTACTTTCATTATTTGTGTGCTTTGTACAGTACCAGAAATAAAAATAAATCCATGACTTTTCTCTTTCAGAAATGCTTTGAGTCAACTCTGTTACATTCAAAATGTAAAAGGGTTGAAGGTCAGTGCAAAAATGTCAAATAATAGCTTTAACTAACACATATAATCACACCACACCACATTACTTACAGGCAATATTTGTTGTACTAGGAGAAAAAAAATCTGCATATAAATAAATAAATTAAAAATAAATAAATACAACAATAAAAACCACTGTGATGTTTTTCCATAACAGAGCTGAAGTATTGGAGGATTCACTCCTGTTGATGGTCGTCGGCTCACAGGAGCGAAGGAAGGAAACGCGTGTGCATAACACTTACATTTTTTAATAGAATTCATTTATAACAAATGGAACTTGTGTCAGCAAAGTACAGAAGGACGGCTTCTCGTACAGATGTGTCTTTTCACCAATGTCATCTAAGTATGAAAATAAAAAGCACTCCATTCATTCAGAAAGAAAAAAAAATCAAATCAAATCAAATCAAAAACAGTTTACATTTACAACTAATCAGAGGTAATTTCATGATTCTTTTTTTAACAAGCCATTTTTTCTTTACAATTGAATTGAATTAATTTCAGTCTATGCATCCAGATGTGAGAGTAACAGGGAGCTTAGAAACACCACGTGTACGTTTGCGCTCGTGACGCTTCAGTCTTTCAACGGGGGAAGAAGTGACGCTTCGAAATCACCTGCTAAAGATGCTCTTTTTTCCCACAACCGATTTGCTTTTCCTTTCTCTTATTTTTTTTTCTCTCTCTCTTATTACTTGGGTAGTCTCTTTTCTGTGTTATTTACATACACACCAAGTGAAGTCTGAAGGAGATTCGTACAGTCGGGTTCAAGTAAAATCCGTAATGGGTGCGGAATCAGTAGGGCAGTGCATAGAGATAAAGAGATACAAAGTGCAATTCTTCCTACTCGCCCCCACTGCAGTTGAACTCATGCATATCAAATAAGATCCAGAACAGGGAAAGAAAAGCCGACGTGGAGCACATCGAAGCGCTGAACACTAGGTGGCGCTGACAGTTACGCAACGGCTGCCTGTTGCTCGACATATGATGATGAAAACATCCGAAATCAACAACAGAAAGAGTCAAAACAATAAAACGCTTTCTCTATTTGAAACAAGAAAGGAGGAAAAAAGCATCTGGAATGCACATCTACAAAGCCAGTGAGGTTCAAGTGTCGAATCGTAATATTCTAATCGTGAAATTCGTACGTTAAAATACTTAGTAGCTTATCAGCAAGAGCTTTGCAGGTTTTCAGGGTCTTTCGTTTATTTTGGCGTTTCTTTGCCACCATTTTCCGCCACCGATGACTGAAATTACGGGAAATTTAAAGCTAACACTTGGTCTTAAAAAGACAGAATTAATTCGTCTCGGTGCCGTTGGGGAACTAATATAAGATAACATAACAGAAATGACTTATCAGTATCAGGCCTGACGGTTATAGTGCGCTTTCTTTCTTTGTCATACCTTTGTCGTTTTTATTTTCTCTGAGCCAAATTAAGGCCACAGAAAATTAAACAGTAATGATTACGTATTTGCATATATAATTTCATAGACTATAAATCTGGTGGGAAATCAATCGATAAATAAACGTACATGAACTACTTAAATGGAATTACGTATTTGCATATATAATTTCATAGACTATAAATCTGGTGGGAAATCAATCGATAAATACTCGTACATGAACTACTTAAACTATACACGTCGTTAAATGAATATCGTAGAAAAGAACAGGCATAAATATAAGGCACTCTAAATGCAAAAGAATGAACACGTGGACGTCTTCGTACCTGTGGCCTAACGGATGCACGACGATGACCTTTGACCCATGAGCTCGTGAACATGATGATGATCGCCCCGTCCTCGTTAAACCGACGCGAATCGAACCCTCCGGCCGTAAAACGTCTAGTTATTGCACAAGATGCGTGTCTGTCCGTCCGTCCTGCTGATGTGCATTCCAGTGGAAAACCCACCATCATTCCCTTATATTATATCATCCATATATCTATATTTTGTGAATATACATTTCAAGGTTATATAAATAAAGACTTTATTAATATCTCTCTCTCTCTCTGCTCATGGAAGAACTGAGATATCTTCTAACCTTTATACTCTGCCCACCCCATGATTCAGCGTGTGTGTTTCAAACAAAACGCCACAAACCACCAGCAAAACGATGAATGAAGGAGGGAACATGGGTGCGAACATCAGGACATCAGAAAAAAAACATGAGAAATACGGTCAGTCTACGCTGATTTCTGTCATATAAGCGAGGAAAACACCACGGAACGTGAAACAAAAGCTGGTATGCATTATTTGTGTGGTTTCTCCGGACGTCTAACCGAACGGTCGGCGTGTTGTAGTTATTACTTCAGCTCTGTTCGTTTAGTCTTCTTCGATGATGATGATGATGGTGGTGGTCGTGATGAAGTCTCCTCTCTTCATCAGTGACGTATCTCCTCGTATTGATTGTGGAACAAAACAAATTCTCTTTACACCGTGTCTCGAGCTCCCCGTCTCACAGCGTCTGTGTTCGTTGACTCCTTTATGATTCATGAATCCTCGAAGCAGCGATTATTCCGCACTTCAGCAGTCTAGATTCACCTGTCTGAAATTATTATTATTATTATTATTACTATTTATTTATTCATGATTTACTTTTTGAAATCAGATCGGGTGATTTTTCTTGGTCCACCTGGATATTTGTCTTTTTATTGTCGTTTGTAAGTATTTCTAGGTTTACGTTGCACATCCAACATGTAATCGAAGAGTTTAAGTTCTTTTCACAAGCAGGTATTTATGGCTCAGAAGAATTAAATGACCGCTGGATGTCCGATGGCTGATCCGTCTCCCTGACAGCGGGACGAAGATCTTATGTTGCATAGTGGTCGAAGCTCCCGAGATACTCCAACCCAGCTCTGTAACAAAACTGGTACTGATCCTGAGAGACAGAGACAGAGAAACGGGTCAGATCTGTGCCAAACATTCAGTCGGATCAGATGTGTGTGTTCATTTATCTTAAACCTGCACAACTACTCATCTAGATGTTTGAATTGAGATTTAATATGTTGGAAGTAATTCAGAAAGGTAACAGAGTTGACGGTAACAACCAGGACAGTTCTGTAACTACAAGGTTTCCTTAGAAAGACAATTCAATGCTGATATAACCTTTCTACATGTAACCTTTTTAATTATGAACCGTTTACTATACAAAATCATGGTAACAGGGTTGACATTTGAAGATCTTCTCTTACTGACAAGTGTATGACCTTAAGAAACCCTTGTGGAAAAAGAAGCGTACTCCAAATTTTAAAAGTATATTTAAAAACGTACTTGCAGATAATATAATATGAATGAAATAAAATAAAATTGAAGAGAGACACTTTCATGACTGTTTCTAAACATACTTATGAACACTTTTAAAATGTGACCTTTGTAATAATGTCAAATTGAAAGTTTTTCTTTAAAGTACATTCTAAATCATTGTGTTTCAATCATCTATTGTCATGTTTTAAAAAGTACACTTATTTTGATGTGTTGACTAACATACTAAAGCACATGCAAAGAACTTGATTATAATTTTAACTGTAGTGTGTTTTTCAATATTACATTTAAATGTAATATATTTTAAATGCTCTAAATTGCAACTTAATCATAACAAATCTGTAATTAGAAATATGTTTAAATACATGACAAAAAAAGTTTCAATAGAAATTACATTAAAGTGTATTTTAGTTCCAGTCATCACATTCACATTCAGCAGTACTTTAACTATATTTTAAAGACAAAAAAGTAATTATGAAATTACATATAAAGATGTACTTAAGACCTACTGAAGTGGGTCAAAACACTCTAAAGTTCAACTAAATGCATTTAATATAAATTAAAACTACATTTTTAAAAATTCATTTACATTTAATTAGAATGAACATGCAAGTATGTGTCTGAAAACATTACACACAATTCACACTTAAAGTATATTATTATTATTATTATTATTATAAATAACTTTTTATTAATTATAAAACTTAAAAGAATGTGGCAAAGAGTGCTTCTTTTCACAAGGAGAAAAAGATGTGCTTGTCATTGAAGAATTTACATCTTAAAATAATGATTGTGTTCTGTTTTTTCTTTTTCTTTTTTCTCTCTGTTATAGCACATAATTTAATATGGTATACATATAATGGTAACAGTGCTGATGCATAACCAGATGATACAACTTAAGCATTTTTAAATAATGCATTTTTAACTAAAGTAAAAAAATAGACAATGAGACAAAATTCAAAATTATTATTATTGTTAATACTACTACTATTGCATTTCAATGCAAAATCTTGAAGGCAATGTGGAATAACATGCATTGATGAATCACTCACAATAAGAGCAGGAACATCAGTTCAGAAATGACATGATGAATTCATGATGGCAATCTAGTTTTCTATGACGTTTGAAACACAATCTTTCTGTAAAGCACATGCGCGATGTAACGTGACATCTTCTGAACAGCTTTATGGATTTCTCTGTGAATTCACGGATGCACGGCTCCTCTCGTCTCCATAGCAACACATCAACCCGGCGGCCTGCGACGCTAAGGGTTGCATGGCTCTAATGCCGCGCTTTTGTGTCGCGTGTCTGCGAGGTGAAAAGCAGGGATTGTGTTGGGCCGAGCGTGAGATTCGAGCCTCATCACCTCGCTGTCCGCATTGATCGCAGAAAATAATTTCTCCCATTGATGCTGGGAAAGACCATTGTGCGGGTTAGCTGTGAAATTGCTTATCTGAACCAATTTGCATGGCTAACCTGAAGGTTTTGTCGTTATAAATGAGAACGAGCGTTTGCGGGCCGAACAAAGCCGAGAATCCGTTCGTTCCATCGCAAACTCTTCATTGGGAAACTTCAGACTAAAATCATAGACGTCTGAAGGTCCAATCACTAACCTGACCTGGATGTTATTAGCTGTAATGTGCTGTTTTAATCTGTGTTTTACATCCTGAAGAAGTGAGAACGGTTACGTACTTCAGTCTGGACCATCGCCGGCCGCTGTGTTCTCAACATCTTGACTGTCTGGAAGATGTCCACCACTCCTTCATAGCGCATGCGCTCCAGAACGATGCTGAGCGTGATGAAGACACCTGTCCTGCCCACGCCAGCACTGCGGATCAATCACAACACAACTAGTCAGCTGGAGCTCTGATATTCCAAACCATAACATGTGAACAAAGTTGACTGAGTCTAACCAGGATGTGAAGCGACCTATTTATAATAGTTTTGCTAATTTAATTTGAGGCCAGACACTGCAAGCATTTGTTTTTCATGCACTGTTCAATTTTAAGATGCTGGGTTATTTCCGTCCAGGGTTGCAGTATTAGTGGATGGAAAACATTGAAAATACACATTTAAGTGTTTATTTTATTGAACTTTATTTGATTGCGCCTTTAGAGTTAAGTTCCAATCTATCTCTTTAAAGAGTTTTTTCTCCACTTCAGCAGCATTTACATACACCAAAACTTACAGTTTAATTCCTCTCTATATTCTGAAGGATTTTACTGAGGGGTTTGTTCATATATCGTTCACATTTATTTATACAATATTTTATTCCTGAAAAACATTGTGAAAATGCATATTTTTAAAGGCTACGAGTTTTTTCTCCACTTCAGCAGCATTTACATACACCAAAACTTACAGTTTAATTCCTCTCTATATTCTGAAGGATTTTACTGAGGGGTTTGTTCATATATCGTTCACATGTATTTATACAATATTTTATTCCTAAAAACATGGCTTAATGTGTATTTTCTGGCTGTTTTTAGTGTTTTCAGATTTATGGAGAGATAAAAACAGAAGTTCAAAATCCCCTCAGTAAAAACCTTTAAGTCTAATATGTCAACAAAATCAAACAAGAATTTTGAACCATGATTTCAAAATCTTTACTCTGGAAATGTATGCAAATTAGTTCATATTTAACTAGAAAATGCATTGTTTACATTTAAACATAACATTATAGAAAACTTGTAACAAAAACAGTTGTACTGTGATTAATCAACTGAAAAAGTACGGTCATATCTATTAGATAAATCTTTTACCCTAATTTACCCTATTAGCTAAAATTTACAAAAAAAATTATAACTGCTGTAGGAATATATTGCTTATTTTTAGTGCTAGCTGATTCATTAACTTATGTTAACAAACAAGGAAAGTTAGCAATAAACTTATATTACAGTGTTACCAATAATTGTTTGAGCATTAATTATATCTTAAGTAATAGTGTTGATTGGTTAAGCCTAATAAATACAGTAAACGCTATTTTGTGTAAAACTGTAGAAAAAGGGAATCAAATCATGTATTTGTCTTCCTGTCTGAACAAATGATCAAATTATGTCACATCCTGTTGGTGTAACAATTTCAAGTAACGTAATTTGTAAAATTATGTGGTAACAGTGTGTGTGTGTGTGTGTGTGTGTGTGTGTATATATACAGTGGGTACGGAAAGTATTCAGACCCCCTTAAATTTTTCACCCAGAGACTTCTGAGGTCACAATCACAACCTCCTGGGAGGGATAAAGACATGTGATGTGTTTAAATCAGCTTTCATGCTGAAGTATTTGCTATTGGATAAGATTTAGTTCACAGAAAAAAAAAAGGCAAGTGTTTTACCCATGAACAGTGGCATCTGCTCGGCTCTGTTTTTCTCAACAAGACTCGTGTCTTTCTTACCTACAGTGGACCGATATGGGTCCGTCCTGACCAAACTGCTCTTTTGTTTTATGCACTTGGCCGATGAAGTCGATGAAGCCTTCCCCTGATTTTGGCACGCCTTGTTCTGGCCAGTCTGTGAACTGGAACTGCCTGACGGTCCGTGACTGTCCGTCCTGAAAGCAGAGAGAGAGAGAGACAGATGAGAATAAAGGAGCTGCGGCTGCTCTCTGACATGTTACACGAATCCATTACATTCACATTTACGTGCGAGAGACAGACGCCGCGCTTGTCAAACCGATGACGAGTACATGACGCATCCTGAACGAGTCTGAGAAGCTCAAGAAACAACAATAATTAAGAAACGTCATGTTGATACTGAACTGATGCCTCAGTGCCAGCGAGATATATTACTGTTCAAAAGTCTGGGGTCAGAAAGATTTAATTTGTTTATAAGAAATCAATACTTTTATTCAGCAAGGATGCATTAAATTGATCAAAAGAGACATTAAAGGTAGCCTTGGTGAGCAGAAGAGACTTCAGAAATATTTTAAAACATATTTAGCATATGGTTAGAGCAGAAAGCCAGCAAAAGCATCACTTATATATGGTGATAGTTGATATTTAAAGGGTTCACCATGCTAAGTTTAAAACATGGTATCAGCACAGTAGTTTTGGGTGTTTTTCTGTTTTGAGCTCCAGCCGCCCACGGCTCAGAAGCGTGTCGTTTCACCTGAGCGTGTGAATGAGTGACTCCAGACACTAAATCCTCTGATGTGGGCGGCTGAAAAGCTCCTGACGAGAAGCTCAGAGAGTTCGCATTTCTTTAGTGATTTTGTATATCCCAGATAAGCAACATGAGAGAGAGAGAGACAGATATAAAACGGCAGGAATGCGTGAGTGTTTATCAGAATAAATGCTGTGATGGAATTAGAGGCCTGTGAGCTTTACTCAGACTGAATATGCATTATAATACACAAATCACAGAGCAGAGGATGGGCCGAGGGTCTGGTGTCTCACCCGTGCGTCCGTCACTTTAAACTCTCGCAGGATGTACTGCGGCATGTTGTATTCAGCCATTGGATCCACCACAAAGTACTGATATCTGGCTGAACGCTCTGCTGGCCAGTACTGATGGCACTTTTCCTGATGGACAGACACAATACATCAGTCATGCGACTGCCAAAATACAACCAGAATGCAAAAAGCATCAGCACAAATACCAGCACTGGCAGGAACAGTAGTTTACACTGGGGTTTCAGCAAAGGGAAAAATGAATAAAATGTGCACCAGATCTATTTGAAAGTAAATCACACTGCTGTTTTCTCAGCGGTGGCACGTGAGGTCATAAAATTTGTGGCAATTTCTTTCATTTCAAGTTAGGCAAAATCTGGATATTACATTCAGTCACGGCCAAAAAAAATATTAGCACAAATGTGCAAAATGATTGGATGAATCAAAATTCCTTTGACGATCCTGGAGACATTGAATTAAATACAAATGAAACCAACAACCGTGGATGATTTTGAAAAAGTAAGGTTTGCAGAGAGTTCAAAACGGAAAACAAATTTGAGGTTGAAATGAAAAGTGTCCAATTTGAATTTGGACTGTAGTCTGTAGTAGTAGAGTTGGATTAATCGCGGTTAATCGTTTGACAGCACTAATATATATATATATATATATTGTCTAGTTTTCCACAAAAATATGTAAATATTTTTAATAAAAAGCTTATTGGAGCACATTTTATAAGAAAATACTATTTTTGTCTTCCTACTTTACAAAATTTCACATTTAATTCAAATGCAATGTGAGTGAATTGTTTTTAATACCATTTTTTTCAGTGTACTTTCTTCAGCAATAAATGAATGAATAAATGATGGTGTGTCAAGCACTCACTCTGCCCATCTCTCTGAGTTTGGTCAGCATCACGACGATGGTGGAGTTGTGTTCCCACAGCATCCTCCAGAAGTCTTCTGTGGTTTCAGCTAAAGGACCCTGCGTGGCGATGTAAGCCTTCTGTTGCCTGACACACAGCGAGAGACACACGTTTAGCTTCACGGTCACAAACGCACACAGACGGACAGATCCGGGCTCTTCTGCTCACCTGTATCCGTCGATGAAGCTGGCGTTGATGTAGTCGGAGCCCTCGACTCCTCTGATTGGCTGCAGACAGACGCGCGTGGACTCGTAGGGCATGATGTTAACCAGTCTGTTCTTGAATTTGTTGCAGGGCAGGTTGGCACTGATGAACCGTGAGGTGTGAGCTTTTGTGTTCGCTAACCGCTGCAAGAAACAAATCGTGAACAGCATTAAAAAAATAACAAAAGTTTGTCTAGACACACATTAATATTGGCTTGAAAACAGAAGAAGTAGTAAAGTTTGAAGGACGTGTGAATATCTGGACGAAAAGATAGACAAATGGATATATAGTACGATAGACAGATGACAGAAAAACACAGACACTACCAGCCAAAAGTTTTTAAACAGCAAGATTTTTTATGTTTTTTAAATAATCCTCTTCTGCTCACCAAGCCTGCATTTATTTGATCCAAAATACAGCAAAAGCAGTAACACTGTGAACTATTTTTACTATTTAAAACAGCTGTTTTCTATGTGAATATCTGTTAAAATGTAATGTATTTCTGTGATGCGCAGCTGTATTTTCAGCATCATTACTCCAGTCTTCAGTGTCACATGATCTTCAGAAATCATTCTAATATGCTGATTTGCTGCTCGAGAAACATTTCTGATTATTAGCAATGTTTTATTATTATTATTATTATTATTATTATTATTATTATTATTATTATTATTATTATTATTATTATTATTATTATTATTATTATTATTATTATTATTATTATTATTATTATTATTATTATTATTATTATTATTATTATTATTATTATTATTATTATTATTATTATTATTATTATTATTATTATTATTATTATTATCAATATTTATAACAATTGAGTATATTTTTTTCAGTACTTTTGATGAATAGAAAGATCCAAAGATCAGCATTTATCTGAAATAAAAAGCTTTTGTAACATTATTACACTTATTTTTTTGTAACAATAACACTATTCCATTCAAAAGCTTGGAATCAGTATATATATATATATTTTTTTTTTTTGGAAATAAATTATATAAATTCATAGTTTTATTTAGCAAGGATGCTTTATACTCAGCTGTTTTCAACATTAATAATAATAATAATAATAATAATAAATATTTCATATATTTCATAAAAAATATTTCAAGATCATGTGACACTGAAGACTGGAGTAATGATGCTGAAAATACAGCTGCACATCACAGAAATAAATTACAGTTTACAATATATTCAAATAGAAAGCAGTTATTTTAAATAGTAAAAATATTTTTAGAATTGTATTGTTTTTGCTGTACTTTGGATCAAATAAATGCAGGCTTGGTGAGCAGAAGAGACTTCTTTAAAAAAAC